GTGCCCACTTTGTCAGAGGTAAACTGAGGTCTCCTTGTAGAACCCCAGTTCTATATGAAAAGACATTATCTACACATGTGGTGCTCTACCAAGGATTCCCCAGACGGATTCTGAGAGGACACAAGATGTTAAGCATTCAGAACTAATTGTAATTTTCATTGGGTCTCAGTTTTTTTCCTCCGTCTTACAAGATTTTTCATCCAATCTATCTTTCAAAATGTGTTGCTCGTATAGATAGTGCAGTGCTGACAAGCACGCTTTCAGTGTGCTCAAGCCAGAGACTTTTCTAGAAATCAGCACTGATCGAGGTATTTCTTAGAATTTTGCTGCTTTACAAGCATCTTGAATTGGCACAGACATCGTTACATACAGGAAAAACATTTCAACAAGGAGATGAGAAGACTGAGATTATCTCAGCTGAGTTTAATAACATAAAATTTAAATCCCATATCGGGATAATCTCCTAACAAACTGAAACAACTTTCAAGGTTAATCTTTTTAACCTTCTAAATCTTTTTGACATTAAGTGATAAAAGACTAAGGATTAAAGGATGGATATGAGAGGTAGTAGCTAAATAATTCATAAAAAACTGTTGGAGAAAGTCCCTTAGGATGCAGTAAACAGTGGAGCACATTTGGAGTCAGGGATGACCACTATTTTTGTTGGGTTTTGCATCTTTTTTATGCAAGTGAAACTAATTAGAACATTTTATAACTGGCATGAGTATTGCCCATAAACTGACAGACATGATTTTCTGAGCAACCCTGCAGTAGAAGATGTACGTGTACATGGTCATCCATACATGATCATTCTGTTTTGAAGACCACATAAGGAATTAGTGATAACATGCGAGAGGCTAGGAAAATCTACATGTGGAATTTTCTTGACAGTGCTGAGGTTCCTTAGGTTACTACTTATAAATTAATTTTGAAAACATACTCTTATTCTATTCTTTTATTCATGTGAGGTGTGCCAGTTCCATTACTAATCATATTGTGAATGCTACATCCTTTTACCTTTGTATGAAAAAAATCAAAACCCGTATAATGTAGAATTCTCTGTTCTGTTAGATTGATATACAATTTATTTTCCCATAAAGATCAAGTTCCCTAAGCTGTTCAGTTGCCTTTGTACCTTTCCAAAAGCATGTCTAGATGCAAGCCAGAGAACACTGGAAATGTATTCTGAACCCATTAAGTACTAATCGAATGCCAAAAATTAGGTAATTTCAAACAGATATCCAAAACTAGGACATTTCAATCACACCTTTCTGTATTCCAGGTCTCTAGTTACAGTGACCACAAGTAACAGCTACTTATCCTATAGAAGAAATCTGAAATAAACCAGCTGTGAAGCGCTCAGATTGCATAGTGAGAATTTCCATAGACAAGTCCAGAAGTAAATTAATAACGGTGTTCAGAGCTACCTCTCTCTACACTGGTAAATCAGATGCTCTTTCTGGCCATTTTCAAGTACTACTTTCTATTACAAATGCTAAATTGGAAATATTAAAGTTTAATGTAACACTGAGATGAAATATTAAGCTGGCAGCTTCTTTGAGGTGTTTTTTTAAGAGAATCATTGTGAGTGGGTGATAGCTGGAGTGCTTGGAAACAGTCCTCATATGCTACCAGTTTCGGACCGTGATCCAGCAGAACTGATTTTAAGCAATCACTGAATAAGAAGTCTAATATCAAAACTACAGATCATCTGAGACCATACATGGAAACAGATGGTTATCCCTGTATCTTGCTTACCAATTTGCATACGTTCGGCTTGTTCACTAATACTCTTTAACTTTTCAGTATAAACTTCTTTGTAGCCATTGATGAAAGAGATATAGGATTTAGGTGTTACGTATGCTCTTCTTTGATACCTAAAACATAGTATATAAGCAACATCCACTTAGTACCTATTTTTGATACGTACAGCCATTTGATCACTTCCAATGAAACAGAAGATGATATAAAACGAGTCTTTAATTCTGTCAATATCAAATTTCTTTGTAATGCAAACTCTTATTTCCAATTACATTGCTTTTATCCACATAAGTACCATGAAAGATTCTTGAATAGTGGAAATAAAGATAATGAATTTGCAACAAAATAATCACTTTTCATGGCCTTTGCATATCTTTATATAGCAGATTTAATTTTGTATTAGCCTTAAAAGACACTTATTGATTCGTATTAACACAATGATTTCAAAACACACTATCAGGAGCAACACTTGTGGGATTAATTATTGCAATTGTATAAAATACTACCTTTGGAAATAGTTCTCACAGCTTTCTGAAACTATATCATGAAAGACACCCATGGTTTCCACCACTTGTGTTTTAACTGATGTAGAGCAGACCATATTAAATTCTGAAAGAAAATAACTGGCTACAGCTACAAGAGCTTCCTTGGGCCATTGACTGAACCAATCCATGGTGCACCCTGATATGAGACCAGGAAATTTCGAAGAACGTGCACGAAACTTCTCACCAACCTAAAGAGAGGTTAACATTATTAGTTCACAGTGTGATACTTGATTAGGTTGACAAAAAGTTTCATTCATATAAACATCTAAACAGTCTATTTTTTCCTTGCTTATTTTCCACTTGGAACACCCTGCACCTTCTTTTATAGAAGTATTCTGCTAAACTTCCAACATTCAATATTTTATGAAATTTGAAGAAAGAAGTTAATGACAAATATAAATGTTCCTTAATATTCTAAAACTTCTATTAACTTACTCTATTTTCCATTAAATTCTTCTGTTCAGGTAAAAAGCAAGAATTTCACAAAGGTACATTCAGTGATTTGTATTAAGAAAGAATAAGCCAGGAGAAAAAAATAAAAATTACTTTAACACGTAAGGAATTATTTACTTTTTAAGTATTTTGCTTTTAAATTCTGACAACTGTACCGTTATTTTTATTTTCTCAGCAATTACAACCAGACTTCAGTAATCTTTTTATGCATCTTTAAATCTCCTTAAAAATATAAAGCTTGAATAAGCCTGTCACACCTTATAGGTTAGTTTGCTAATGGAAGTAAGGAAGACATATGAAGAAAAAAAACTTACTGGAGAAAAGCAGAGGACAATATGCAAGTTCTTCTTTGCCCGAGTTAAAAAGTATTCATAAAGATTATCAGAAGTAGGAGGACACCGAGGCATCTCTTTTTTCATCACAGGTATTAATCCTTGGGTGATTTCATCCAATTCATCCCGAGCGAATAAATTAGAAATCTTTTTATAAAATTAAAATTGAGAAGAAAATAAGTTGCATTGATGTCATTATTATAGAGTTTATACCTATTTGTCTGCTTACATCTGTATCTCTTGCTCTGATTTAGACTTACGTAACTCCATTTAAAAACTAGGAAATCTCACTCAGGAAAAGTGCAGATCTTGACTGGCCAGGGAATCTTTTTTTAGTAAAGGCTACTGAACTACCCATCACAGCTCCTCATCCTTTCCTGGCTTACATTGAAACAGAGACAAATGAACTCCATGTCAAGAGCACTCCTTATTTTAAAAGTTGATGTATTTTGAAGTTAATCATTATTTTGGTAATAAATTGTAGAATAAATAAAGAGAAATAAACTAATAGGAACAAATTCTGCAGTTTCCTTTTCCTAAAGTACATTGCCTGTCACGTTGAGACTCTTACCTCTCCTGAAGACAGCAGATTATTGACATATTCCAAAAACGACTCCTCTTTTATCTCATTATCAGTGAAAATAAAAGTGATGCCTTTTCCTTCTACTCCAGCTGTTCTATACAACAATTTTAAATCATCTGAGAGATTGCTTACATTATAGGTTCTAGGAGGAATAAGAAACACCACCTGTGGATTCAAAGCAACTCAGAATACTGCTGTTTTCAGATTATAGTATTTTATAAATGACAGTGCAAACATCCTTTGTAAACACAGATATTTTGTCTCAGGAATAGCTTACACACGGTCCAGCTTTTTCAGCTCAAATGATCCCATGTTGTATACAAACCAGGGAAGAATGTCTTGTTTTTCATGTTTTTAAATGGCAGCAAAATAAAAATAAAAAAGGCTGTTGAAAACATAAGGTTATGACTGTGTAAAGAGAAAGCAGCAGCATAAATCAGATTTATACATTTCTTGTATTTCTTACCTCGTTAAGGTGATCTGAAATATTTTATAGCCAGCAATAAAGGAGGCCAACCTTGAAAGACTTTGTTTTCCAGAACCACCAACCCCAACAAGTAAAGCATTTCCATACGCTGTCCGAATTATCCTGGAAATCTGTATAGGAAAAAATGGAAGAAAATATCATTAATAAATTTAAATTAAAATGTTAGTTAACAAAATTAAAAATCTGTTATTCTCCACACTTTATTTACTAGAGTACAATGTAAAGATTATTAAAAGGACATTTGCAGAAAATTTTTCCTTTCAAAACAACTCGTACATTCTTTAGAAATTTTGTGTAGTTAATGAAAAAGCTGTATGTGAAAGTGTAGGATAGTTATAATCAGTTACACCAAGGATTTAAATACATAACATGAGCTCCATGTTCTGTTGAAGGTATGTGTTTAAAAATATCAATTAAAAAACTTCATCTTGAAGAATAAACATACTAGGTTCCTAGTTTTAAGAGTCTGAAAGACTTGGACACATTCAAACTACCATTGAGTGTTATCTTCTATTTTAGCTACCTTCTATGTTTCTTTTGAGATAGTTTTCTTAATAAGTTTCCGGGATATAAAACCTGGATTACAAATTTACAAAATGGTTTTTTTGCAGATCTCCTGACTATACACCACATCTTCCTTGGTTTTATTATATTTTAGTGCACTGTTACTTTTAAGATGCTACAGGTTGCTTTGCTCCTCATTTAAGCTATGTACAAAATGCAAAAGATCGGCATCCACATCAAGACTTTGAACCCCTACTAATTTTTTTCTTCAAAGAAATGTTGGGTTTATGCACAGTTCCCTTTGAGCCTATCCAGACAACTACATTAAAACAGAAGTCTGAATATGAAATTATGAGGGTGACTAGATTTATTGTCACCACAGTGACAGCAGGACTCATTTCTACTACCTAAAGTGCATATTCCAGATATTCTGGTTAAAACTTGCCAATAGAAATGGAGTATCAGAGACTTTAAAGGTCTTCTGAAATTCCCCTAGCATCATATGAACTATATTTTTTAAAAAAATAAATTATTTTCTTCTGTTTAAATGCAAAGCAAACAAAATAGTTTACTTCACTGGGGGTCAACTACAGAAGTACCAAACATCTCCTCCTGCTTTGGTTTCACTGTGGCTTCTCTGTGTCTATCAGTAAAGAGATCATCAAGTTAAAGTAATTCCTGAGAAAACTAACAAAACTTATTAAACCTGAGGCACAGTGCTTCCAACACATCTCACACTTAGCCCTTTCCCCCCTCCCCCAAATCAAATTCTGGCTTTGGATAAATTCTTTCCTTATATCTTCCTTTCTGAAGAGGGGTTCAATTGATTGGAAACTTGGACTTTCGTCTGCCCTACACGCTGATCCTACTGCAGCTCTGATTTCTGGTTCTTTCCATGTTTCTCATCCAACCAGATTCTGCCTCATGTTGTTCTGGTCACTTGTCAGGTACAGATACCTTTGAAGTGTTCTCTGAACTCCTAATGATTAAAAGTCATTCTATACATTCTATATACAAAATATAAATGTGCCTCTCTATGACCTCACCTTTCCCATAGAGGAAAATCCTCCTATCCCTGAATACACAGAAGCTCAAACAAACACATAAAATAAGGTTTTTATTACACAACATGCAAAGAGGTAAAATGACTGTAGCTCTTTCCTAGTTCTTGAAAACGGCCAGGCAAAGATGGCAAGCAATTTTGGGGGTAAGAGTAGCTTTTCAGAATGTGTCCTCTAGGCATAGCTTGCCCAAATCAGGAACACTGTTCCAACAGTTAAACTACTAAAAGAGTAACAAACGCCAAACCTTAATAAGATGTGTCATTGCATCCTTAAAAAACACCAAATCAAGAAATGATCCTCTAATACATTCATTGTATTGTCTCTGATACATTTGCAATTTTTCACAAAGAAATTCAAAGCTTGGAATCTGGGAAAAAAAAAAAAAAAATCAGTAAAAGTAGTACTGTGGCCCTTCAGAATTTAAAACCACACTGACACTTTTACACAAACTTAAGTTCATGTACTAGTCACATATAATGAGATTATCTTCTTAATTCACTGTCGTGACTGTGGCTGTGTTTAAGCAGAAATTTTCTGCAAATGGTGGGAAAAAAGGAGCAAGGAGAATAGGAATGCATAAACTAAATTTATATGGGATTATTAACATCACTAAAATGGTTTATTGCATACTAACTGGAAAAATCTAGGTATATCATCACAAAAAATGTGCTAGGTATTCAACGAAACTTTCTGTATGATAGGAGTTTGGCAACATAGCATACTCCCTAATTAAAGGAAAAATTCAGTGCCTCATATTTTAGGTGTAAAGTAAAATACCTCCTCATAAATTTTTGGTGGTTCAAACACAAAATCCTCTGGTTCATCACCAGTTGGTTCAGGCATCTCCCGTAAAAAATCTGCAAAATATGGTTCAGCTTGGAGAACTTCTGTTAAGGCTGTGTCCACATATTCCTCAATTGCTTTAGTAATAGTTTTATCAAACCAGGCTGTATCTTCAGGAGTAATAAATCTAAAAACCATTAAAAAAATAAATATCTGAAAATCAAAACCTGATTTCTACTTATATAGGGAGAAAAACAGATAATTAAATACTAAAAAACCCTTGTAATATTTCAAAGAAAAATATATATTAGGCAATACATATTAGACAATAGTCACAGAAATGGATTAGGCAGTATTCACAGAAATTAAATGCTTCCATAATCTAAAGTATAGCAGTCAATCACATGAAACATAACACACAAACCAACTTGACTTTCCAACTTCCACCTAGAACTAGGCAATGACAAACCACTTAATTTCCAAGGTGAAAAAGGTTGAATGATTTCCAAATAACCATTGCTAGGTGACCCTTTATCATCTTTCAACCTGCAGCAGAATGGCATAATTTATGTTGTAGTACTGCCTGTGAAATGCAATGAGGTAAGGAACAGTGAAGGGAAGATAATACATGTCACTGCAACCTGACTTCATTCTCAATCCCTTTTACACAAAACCCCATAATTAACAGAGGGGGATGTACAACCCGGGAGGGGGGACCGAGGCAGTGATAATGCAGAATGAAATAGAACAAAGCCTGCAAACACGAATACTCATGACTAAGTTTCATTGTTTGAACAGCTGTATCTGCTTCACTTGACAGGTTCAAGACAGTTTTAATACAGATAAAGTTCTTTGACTACTTGACTGCTCTGATTATCTGTGATTATCTGAGAAGCAGTCAAGCATGATACTCAGTAGTAATCAGGAAACATAAAAGACAAGAAACACCTCGAAGCCAGAAAAAGGGAATGCCATCTGTGAATGTCAGACTACAGGAAAAAGAATGTTCGTCTTTACTTCTTTTCCTTTTCAGTGACACAACTGAGAGGAAAATAAAGACAAACATGAAAAAGCTGTACACAGGGCTCTGAGTTTTCAAATAAGGCAAAGAATATTAAAGAACTGGGGTACAGAGACAGCCTAGATATACATTATATACTTCATTATTGCTAAAGGCTTTGAGTGATGACATTATAATACTAACCACTATGAAGTCTAAAAGCAGCATGGAAGAAGAGACTGCATGACTACTCTCTCTCTCTCTCTCTCTCATTTTTTCTAATATATAACAGCTCTGTACAAATATATATCTTGTATGTATTTTTAAATTCCCCACGAGAAATAAAAAAAAAACATATATAAAACCATCTCCGTACATGTCAGTGACATCACTCCTGACTTTAAAGCAGAAAATACTGCACTCAAAGCTGTATGACACTTTTGCATCAGGGCTATGATCCTAACTTCAAATTCAAATGAAACACTTTTCCCCTTTTTATATCAACAGCACTCTATTGCACATACAAGTGCACTTACATCAATTTCAGGTAATTTGTAAGTTTATAACAGACAGTAGTTTAGGCACTTAGAAATACCATCATTGTTAGACTTTGTAGCAGATTTACGCTGCGTAAGCTTGCTTAGATTGTAGAGAAATAGCTATTAAAGTCAGCAGAAAATTCTGGCCTTCATTTTTATACTTTTGACAACTGATGGGTAAGATTCCGGTTTAGATTTCCTGCATGCATTCTCTGAACTCAGCGTGTGTATCTAAGCAAACAGGAGCAAGTGAGCAGGATTTTCAAATCAGAGTTCCTCTGGGATATTTGAACTGGCCCTAAGAGCAATCTTACTTCCTTGGCTCTTAACTCAAGGTTGTTAATGAACCTTCCCAGGGAAAATGAGAAAGCATCTGCCAGTTGATTTGGAGCTCTCATGGAAGAAAATGAGGGATTCGAGAACATACAGGTAGGGATGGTGAACAACACTGGTTGACACTGGTCTATGTTTTGTTTGGAATTGTTTCAAACATTTACCTGAAACTGAGGGCAGTTGTTCCGTCCACCAGTTTTCACAATGGGTAATTAATCTCTAAGTTTTACTTATCTCGTTTTGTTTCTGTTTCAACTGAGTACATGCTAAAGTCCACATATCGAAGTATACTTAGGAGTATTTCACACTGTCCCTCTTGTCTTTTGAAACCAGAGGTGGAACCCCTTATAGTCCTTTTGTAGCTTTGTTCTTCCCTTTATGTTGACAAGTTACTAAAATAACGGCAATTGAGCCTGACTGTGCTTGAACACAACGCAATCGTTACGTACACATCTTGCCTGCTGCCACGCCAAATCATCTGCATCAGACTGTATTTCTGTAGCTGACATCTTAAAGTTGATAAATTCCATCACAGATTTCTGCAACTATGTTGAATACTGAAAATATTCTGGTCATGACACTCCTAAGCACCTGTCATTTCAAGGCCTTCAGGTCAAATTTAAAGTAAAAGCAATATAACGTGTTACCTTGTGTCCACTGCAAAATATTTTTCATTCCTTTCACTTTGTGATAGTTTTATAAAGTAAATGCAGTATAATAAAATACATGTATAAAGTAAATGCAGTATAATAAAATACATGCATATATTTTTAAGAGTCCACATTTAATTTCAGTGCTGTAATGATAGAGCATTAATTTTATACAAATCATGAAGGCCCTTCCTCAGGACATCAGAATAAGAAATGCACAGAGTGGTGGGTGTATGTCAAGTTTTTACTGACACCTACAGTACTACATCAAGAATGTCACAAGAAATTGAAACACTGTAAACACAGAAATACTACTGGATCTTTAACACACAGCTCATAACTATCTGTTTTATGAATATTTTAAAGGAGATTTAGAAGAGATGGGACATTTTTTAATCATAGCCATGTCACCCTTTTTTCTGTGAGGAGATCAAAGCAATTTTAAATTATTCTCTGTGTATGAATTTAGGACACTGTACAATCCTGGTTTTTAGAGAGCAACTGTCTGAGTGTAGCTGAAGATAAGTGCAAAAAAGCGGGTTAGAACATAGAAGAGGTGAATGTTCTGGAGTTTTCCAACCAACTACTGGGCTAATCAACCAGCATGTAGAGCATGGCATTTGTTGGGATAGTACCCCGATGGAAACTGCATGAAAAACAAGACAAAAATTTTTCATATTGGCCTAATAAGGTTTGTCACACTATGAATTTTTACAGATGCATGAGCATAAATGAATTAAATGGCTAAACCTACTAAATACAAAATGCTACATTTATTATACCTGTCAGCAATTACTCTGGTACATTCATGTTTAAAAAGCATGAGAAGGACAGTGCTGTTGCTGCATTCTTCCGCCTTTATAGTTAGCATTCCTTGCCAAATTCTAGACAGGTCTCGAAGGTTGAAGATATAGTGGAATTTAGACGGTGTAGGCAGCATCTTTGTCTAAAGAAAAATATTGTTAATCAAAACCAGTAACATTTAGAAGGAATCAAGAACAATATAAACCATAAATTTATAGTTAATTACACATAAAATATAAAAATAACAAACCTACTAATTTTCACACATAATACTGCAGGCAAACTCTTTCTAAGAAGCCATCAAAAACATCTCAGGTATTTGGAAGGAGGATCTAGCATGTAACCCCCCAACTTTTATAATGTGTAATTATTTCATATTTTGCTCTGGGCTTTATAAACAAAAAATTATGATTTATAAAGAATTTCACTCGCTGTTCCTTACCTAGAGTGATTACAGCTTTGGGTAACACGGGTAAAACTATAGGAATGAATGGATTGAATTTTCCATTCATCTGCCTTGTATACTGAAATCTGATATTTTCCATACTATCTCCAAAACTTTTTTAGCCCGTCTTTCTACTGTTGTTTTTTTTCTTGTTAGATATGTCCTTAAGGAATATGTGGCTAAATTATACAAATAGCCATTCTGTTCAGACTGATTGTGACAAAATTTTCCCTGTAATTTATACCTTTGTCCACTGCCACAATATTCTGCCTGTTGGGACCAATTTTTTTACCATATCACATACTTCAGGGTTGAATTTTCTACAGGAATGAAAGTATCCACAGCCAATAACACCTGAAAAGATAAAATGCAATCTACAATTAATCTCAAGTTGTAGGATGTAATAAGGTAGGTTGTGAGCAACACATACAAGTACTTACTTAAAACACCGATTTACTTTTAAATTACAGATTAAATAATCTTGTCTCTCTTGTTCATGGCTTTTCTGAACTGGTGTAAGAACAACTGGGAGTAAGTGCTGGCTTTTAACAATATACTGTATTGACAAAGTTAACAGTTGAAAACTGCAGCAACAGAGGCCATTTCAGACCATGCAGAGGTGGTATGGCAACCTACATAGTAATAATTCTTCCAGAAAATGTCATTACTTTCTTATTAATTATTCTGCATGTCCAAAGTTAGAAAGACAAAAATTTAAATATTTAATTTTATCTTCCACAGCACTATTTTTGATGTAATACAGCTTCAGTAGTTTCACTGGAAGTACTCTGAATTTGCATGACAAAAATGAGAGAGAGATCATATTTTTTACATTTTAAGTCAATTGTGAAAAAAAAAAAAATACTAAAACAAGGGAAAGAAGTACCAAAAATTTTGTCGATGGACGCGTTGGATGGCAATGTACAATTGAATACACAAAACTGTCTTTTTAAACGCTGGGGGATATCATTACGGCCTCCTCCAGGGTGTATCATCGCTGCTATTAGTTGTACATCTACAACTGTAGTGAAGTCTCCGGGTTTATCCAAGCTGTACATTCCTTTCATTTCCATCATCTGACGAACTATTTCATTTGTTACCTGTAAGTTTATGTAACTAGTTTTCAATCCGAAATTCAAACAAGAAAAAAAGAAAGTATACCCTGATAATCTAATTTCTTCTTGTAACTCTATCATTAATCCCTAGAGAGGTGTTTTCATTTCAATCTAAACTCAGGTTAAACTATCTTCCTTAGTCATATGGGAGATCTCGGTTTATATGATTGTAAACAGCAGGAAAATTGTTTCAGAGCTGTACTGCCGTATAAGACCAACAAAATGTATTTGTATTCCTATTAAGCAAATAAAGTTAAGGCAATGAACTGGGAAAAAAAATGGTTTGTTCCATATTTTGCTGCTGGACTTTCATGTCCAGATGTTCAAACTATGCTTTTCAGTTTTCCCTTGGACCTCCTTCGAAGGAAAACAACTCATTTTCTTTTTTGGAGGAAGTTGTTTATTCTGGAAAGGTTACTTACTCCACATTCCACTCTACAGAACCTGTATGGATTAGTTTGCCCCCGTAGCAACTGCTCCAACGATATTCAGTAAACCTTATGCGCTCACATACCCCGACAGAGCCACACGACACGCAGCAGGACACCGATCACAAACCATCATCCCATTAAAAATATTTCAGCAATGTTTTGGGGCCATCATGGAAGATCTAGTGGAGGTCCTTCCATAATGGACATCCTTCCTATTATTGGACACTGCCTGGGTCTGTGAGGGCTTTTCCTCAAACACAGCCATCTGTGTTCTAGACTACGGTCAAGCAGCTCAGTGTTGTGGGTTATTCAACACTAGTTTCATTTTTTTAACTAAATTAACGTTCTCTCAAGTGAGAGCAAAGGATGCAAACCAAAGAACTGATGTATATTGGCATTTAGGTAGAAGGCCAGGCTCCATTTCAGACACTAAAAACACATGTTTGGTGTCTACTTTGACAAAACCAGCCTTCTAAAGCGAAGAGGAGGAACTATTCAGTCTACATAGACCCATTTATATCCATACCACCACTGAAATATGTGCTCAAGCCCACTCTCCGACCAGACCTACCACCCACACTGTTAACAAACCAGCTCAATGCTGTGAGCAGCCCTAACCCAAACTGTGAGCCTCACAGAAGCCAGAGAGCCTGAGCACTCAAAAGTGCACAGAAGCCCCAGGTTTCTCATTTGTTATTTACCCTGAGCAAATTAAGACAAGTAATGAGAAACATCCTTGGTCTTTATATTAGAATAAGCATTCCAGCAGATCTGGAATCCTGGGCAGGAAATACCTTAGACCTGCTGCGGGAAGGAACTGAGAGACACTTTTGCCTGATTTTAGGTCTGTGTAAGCATATGAATGTTACACAGGCAAATTGTAGATGGGCTCATCAAAAGTCTTTAATCCGGTTTGCAAGCCAATGGGTTACCCTTGAATCTGGACACTTTAGTACTTTCTCCAAGGTATCACACCTTCATTTTGCAGAAAGTTTGTTTACTGGTGCTCTCAAATTAATGTCAGTCTTGAAATTAATAATACAGTACTTTAATACAGTGATGCTTTTTATTTAGTCTTACAAAAACATAAGAAAGTATAGAGATAATGTAAGGTCTGACACCATTTTCTACATGTCTTTTCAGTAAATCTAATTTGCTCTTTTTTTCTTCATTGGTGTACCATACTAGAAAAACTTTCTAATAACTAACAATTAAAATAAAGAAAGTCCAGATTCCCACATATGTTAAAAAAAGGCACAAGAATTTGAGCACAAGTTATACTTGTTAAAAAAAAAGTTTACCTGATCTCCCCATTCATTGACAAATGGCATATTGATATCATCAATAAAAATAGTCATTTTTCTGCCTCCAGGAGGTCCATAAGTACTTCCAATGCGTTTGTCCAAATAACTTTCTATTGTCCTCTAAAAATTAAAGAAAGTTCTTTTTTCACATCTAAAGTAACAATATTTAAAATGTATTGTTAAAAAATGTGTTAATTACTGCTTTCTGCTCCTGCACTTATCCAGTGATTTTATCTTTTTGTTAGCAGTTTCATCTTTGATTCATCATTAAGGACCTCTATTCTCCTGTTCATCACACTCATTCCTATGCAATTCCCTGGCCTTAGGACTATGTCCTGCAACCCACTTCTGGCTCCCAGAGAAGTTCTTAAAAACTTTTCAAACTTGGAAATTGTTATTTGATTATCAGCATTGAAACCAATTACCAAACTAAAATTACATTAATTTTAGTATGATGCATTATGTCTGTAGAAGATATTACATCTTCTTGTGAATTGCATTTCAGTCTTCAAACATATCAAGAATAATGCAAGAGAAACTGCTAAGAGATAAGAAAATGAACAGATCAGAAGCTGTGAATTGTGTTGCATAGCTTTTTTTTTTTTCCTCTTGTTGCTCAAATCAGTAAGAGATAATGGAAAGATAGTACACAATTTGAGAATTTAAGGATTAATCAAAATTATATTAATTATGAGCAAGCTAAAATATCAACAAGCAGAAAGAGTATTTTCATTGTCGACAGTATAATTTTTATAAATACTGGACTTATTTAGAAAGGCATTTAAGAATCTCCCTTCCAAAGGGTAGCTCAGGAGAAGAATGCAATCTGATTTCAGAGAATTTTTCATGCACTGTCTGAAAATTAGGATTGTTCTAGACTACCCCTAGCTAAACTCAATTGATTTATATATGCAGTACAACTGCAGACCACATAGAGGCAACAGATTCTTTTCACAATGATTTCCCAGGTGTCTTGTAAGCTAAGTAATGCAGCATTTTAACATTTTGTTGGCAAGAATCTTTTAGGACTGAGTTTTGAACTAAACAAGAAGCAGGCTGCAATAGACAAGACATTGTTATCTAACTGAAAAATATGTTCAAGGTTCTACAGCTCTAGTCTTTCTAAAGGTACTCAGAACATAAACAATGGCAGAAGAAATACCTTGCAAGATGGTAGCAAATGTTTTCCTTAAACAAATATTTTTTTAGTCTCACAAGCATAAATGTCATCCTATATGAGTAATGTGGCATGTGCTGTCATCAAGACAGAAGTATTAATAGCATTTTTGAAACAGAAAACAGATACAAGTTTTGACAAATATTTTTCTGCTGTTTCTTCACAACAGAAAATAATTAGCTGAGTGTTCCAAGATAAACAGGTATAGAATATTGTTAGCATTAATGCATTGTTTTGGAGATACACGATTAAGGTGAAAAAGAGAAACTGCTAAGAGAAAGAAAGTGATTACACAAGGAATCAAGAACTTTGTAGCTCAAACATCCAAAATCACCCCATCTTTCAAATATCTTCAAAATTAAAAAACTTTTGAGTGTGTCTCTTTCATGTATTTATAAACATTTCAGCTGGTTTTCTGCTGCATCTCTCTTGGAAGTCAGCAGAGTGAGCTATGTGTTCAGCTAGCTGTCTGAAAAGAAAGAGCGTGCCTTCTGAGGTACTACGGGACTGCAGCAGAGGCAAGACACAGTACGATCCTTTCACAGACTCCCTGTACCAGCGACAAGGAAGTCTGCGTTTTGTTTAGGAGACAGTTATGTTCTAGAGACCTATAATACACTAAGTAGAGGACACAGGCAGAGATAACGACTGTTCAATTAATCTCCCATGCATGAAAGGATGCCTGCCTTATTCTGTCTCACAGTTTGACATCAACCACAGAGATCTTACGCATAGCAGAAAAGCTCAGCAGATATTCTGTGAGTTTGGAATCGTAAAAACTAGATGTTAAAGCCACTACTTTTCGCCATTTTCTTAATAACATTTACATTAGTTTCTTTAAAAAAAAAAAAAATGCTTGATTTTGGGATGGAGTTTGTAAGACCTGCTCCACAGGCAGGCTTTTCAATAAAGAAATATTCCAAGATCATTACTTTATCCTACTGGATTGTCATCATGAATCCATTGCTTTGAACTGGTCATGAAGCCAATTCAACTTACAGGATCACATCCTAGCAGATTAGTAGTACTGAGTCATAGCACAGCGATATAAATCATCCTTTCAATCACTTGAAAAAACTACCTGTAGTATTTCTTTCTATTTATATGGATTTTGGCAGTTATATTGGGAAAAGGAAGTATCTACAAAGTTGCCATGCTAGAGGACCTTAAAGATTGGATTCTTGATGCTGTAGTCACTCCAGAGCTGAGGAAAATTAAGAGGAACTGAGCTGAAATCTGCTCTTTATTTAACAAAAATAAAAATTATGGTTATAAAATGAAGAATCAAGAAAAACTGAAGAAGTATAACCAAAAATTTTCATTAATCTAAAATGAAAAGGAAGGTTCTTCAGCAAAAAACCAGATTCTTAGAATTCCATAATGAAAAAGCACACAGCAATCATGCATATACATACCCCCCTGCGACTGACTATATTTTATTCTGATCTGCAAAAATTATTTTTTATGGAATTTTCTGAAGTGTTTGAGTGACTTCAAGGAAAAAGATCCTGTACAGTTTATTTCTAAATCACTTCTTTTATCATCAGAATTAAGTGCACTTTAAATACTTAGCAAGGAAAAGATCCACAAGAATTGCTTAAAATCTGTACTTTTACCTGAAACATGAATGGTTCTGTGGCAGATGAAAAGTTTAAACATTTTGACAAATGCTCTTCTGGGTCGTATTTCTTCAGATACGCCTTAATCATGACTGTCTTTGCAGTTCCCTGTTCTCCTGTGAGCAAAACCGCCTGCACAGATAATTAAATCATATAAGTAGTATCAAAGCTTATAATTAAATATACGTAACAGACCCATTTTAGAGAAAGGGATACTTTCTGTGTCCACTTTTGAATGGTATATTTTTCTGGGAGGTTTTGCTGTGTCTCCATATACAGTGACACAGTATGCATTTTTCATCCCACTCAGATTCTCCAAGAAAATTGTTTAGAGTGAAAAGAGAAAGGATGAAGTGAGAATGTACTAATGGTTCTTCTTCCAGTTGATTAACTTCTTCCACTTTCCAACATGTTCACCACAGTAGTCTCTTGTAGTGGACGCCCTTAAGAAGGCTTTCTTTATAACAGAAAGTAGTCTCCAACATGTAATTTGAACATAAAATTTCCACTATTTGGTTTGGCTTTAGGTATCCTTTGTGACATGCGCTTGGAATAGAAGGATAGCTCCTTCTTCCCGGCTCTGTCCTTAAAGCAACAGTACAGTACAGATGAGATGTAGCTATATCCGCTCTCAAGAACATTGCTAAAAGAGATACTCAAAAGGTCTGTAGAGACACGATGTAGTGATAATTGTAAATAAGAGACACTGAACTGTGTACAGAAATCTTAGCTGACCCAGCAATATCCACAGCTTTGTGGTAAAATGTTATTAAAGGTGAGAAACAATTGGGTAAGAGACAGTTGCTTTCCACCTCTGGAAGTATAGTCCTTTTTGAAGCTCCTCTTATATTTCCATATATTGTCTAAAATCCCTGAACAATTTTTTTCTCTAATGTGTGTGTGTGTGTATATATATAGTATTAAAATATATGAGATTATAAAACTTATTTTCTGGTTAATCTGTACTCTAAGTGTCATTTCCCTGAAGGAAAAAAAAAAAGTAGTAATAAATGTGTCAACAAAGAAGAAAGTCTTTCCTGGTTTCCTTCTTATCTTGGTAAAATCTGAACCTAAATCAGAAAGTTGCTGAACCAAAGGATGAACATTTCTTTCCTTTCTCTAAAGCCTTTTAGAGAAATCACCCACTTCATCTCATGAAAACGAGCTAGAGAAGAACCCTGCTCTTTTTTCAGATACGTAAGGATCCTCCATGGTTTTTTCCGGCTCAGAGTTTCATCCTACTTATGTTTTTGACAGATGGTATTATATTCATTATTATATCCACTCCATTAAAGGAATTTAATCAGTTTGCAAAAAGAAGTATGAATTAATTTATGATTGTGAGCACTGAAGTTGATAATGCAAGAGGTTTGAAATGCTCAAATACTCCTGACTGACCTGCTCCTACTTTAAATTAATGCTCTCCAACCGACAGCCACAATGGTACCACATGGTCTCATTCTTCGCCCTCTTTTTGAACACCCAAGTGATCAATCAAGCATGATATCACAGATGATAGTAATAAACCCTCAGAACCAACAAGTGAAGTCAGATCTGTAAAACCCCACTTTGGCTTCATCTAGTATTTGCAATTCAGCTGTAGCTGGAAAGAAAGTTCATGCTGCTGTGGTCTGATCCAGGGGGAAAAAACCCAAACGCCACAGACATTTCTCTCTCACAGTTCAATATGTGATTAAATCAAACCTCATCAAATTAAAAATTGCTTGAAAACCAAGTAAGCTGACTGCTTTCATGGAGGGGAACATTCTGCTCAATAGGGAAGCGTAGACAAGTCCCATTGCACGTGGAATGCTGGAATTTTTCAACTGAAGAAAGGAAGATATAAAACTGTACGCCACAGAAACACTGAATTGGGGAAAATGCCAGGTCTCAGACTCATTTTGGAGAATCTAAATTTATTTCTACTGCAATGAGGGCCAAAAAAATGTATCTGAAAATATAGTCAATATCTCCCAAGGCATTAATGTACCAAGATTAATTGTTTCCAAATATATAATTTTGCATGTTTTTGTAATTTGTGTCAGATACATCAAAGGCACAGCCACACTTTGGCCTCTGGAACAGTTTCATCGAAGCCACTTGACAGGTTTTCTGTCCAAATCCCAGAATTTTATCCAAAAATCAGGTTCCAACACTGGCTCATGCACTTGTGGTATTTCTAATGTTGGCTCAAGCTGCTAAGAAGGAAGTACATTGATTGATATTTCACAAGCCGCCACAGATTTCCATAGGAAGATGCTGGGGTTATTATTAAGAGCACTGTGCTAAAGCAAAATACGTATTTTTCAGATCTTCCTCTGTTTGCATATAGGCTTATATATGTTTTAATAACTATTGTTTAACATGGCCTGAGTCAAAAGACACGACAACAGATTGGTCCTTGTTGGTTAACGCTGTGTGAGGAGTGTTCTCTCCTTTTCTATAGTTGTGGCTACTGCTATTTACTACAGCTTTCTTAATGAGAGAAAAAGAACAGTAAAAGGAAGGAGTTTCAGGGTTTTAGTGAACTACCGTATGAAATTTATTTTCCTTGTTGGCCTGTTCAAGAAAGCACAAATCAGAAAAATGAATATGGCGTAAAGAATAAGAACAAGGTTTTATATGTCTTCCTCTGAGAAAAATGATAGGCTGTGGGAATTAAACTTTTATGACAAAAAAATTGTTTGACAAAAAGGATATTTTAAGCATCTTGCCCATGCACAGAAATAAATGCAGAGGATTCATGTTAGGAAAATAAAAATAGAGTAATATATAAATAATGATGCACCTTGCAAGCAATGACTAGAGACAGAGAACATGAATAATGTTTGCAACCCCCAGTTAATTTATAAGTAGGTTTCTATTTATTTTATATAGTAGACATATACTTAAATAAGTAATCCTGTGCTTACTTTCTGTTGTTTTGCAATTGTGTTTATCAAAAACTGAGTTCTGACACTGTCAACATTTGGAACGAGAATAGATGCATAGTCTGGAACAGTATCTGTTGGATAAACATATTCCTGAACCCTTTTACTCCAGTGCTCCCAGTCACCTGAAATGACAAAATAAAAGCAGAAGAGAAAAATATCTCGATTGTGTTCAACATTTTGTTAGTACAAAAAAAAAATCCTAGATGTTACAGATGAAGTACTACAAAGTATATAAAAAGGGATAAATTTTCGCAAATCTGGATAAAACACATCTAACAAAGGACATAGTCATGACCTCTAATTAGTCTACAATCCTACTAAATATACACATATTTATCAAATTTATATATAGCTATCTAAAAATAACCCAAAAGAACGTTTTCCTAGAAACTTATTCTCACATTGCTGGTGAAAAATTATAGAATGTGAGAATAGGGATTGCATACGTGTACACTAAATCAGCATTGCTGGGAAAAAAAACCACCTGAATTTCTATGCAAGAGCAACAGATGTATTCATATAAGAATACACTTTGAAAGAACAAGTTAGTTGTGAAATTTGTTATGTATGTGTTACTTAAACTATGAATTTATTGTGGAAAATATCACACTATTCAAAATATCAGTATTCACGATATTCAAAATACCACACTATTCTTACAGTTTTATAAACGATAAGATTTATTACTGATTATCAGACATGGATAAATAGTAATTTCCACATGGAATTAAAATCAGATTATATTTTTTAACAAGAAATACTAGCTGTGAGGAAATTAAATATAAAATTAATATTAATTTAGACTAAACCAGCCTAAGCATAAGTTATCTAAAAACTGTAGCCTGGTTAAGTTAATAGAAAAGAAATCTGTAAGAATGAAGTGAAAACCAAAAGACATAAGAAAGTGTTACCAATGAGCAGTCGATCCCCCATTTCTTACTCACCTCCGCAGAGGCGCTGCATAAAAAAAATCTGTGTTTTACTGTACTGTCATCAAAAATCTCCACTCATATGACTGTATCAGGACTAAAGGAGTAATTTTAAATGTCAAAGCGGCTATACTCAGATTTAAAATGACAACATAAAATGAATGTTAGTGCTTTTTCTTACCATTATCAGTAACATAAAACTCATACATTGTTTGACTGGTGCCAGGGGAGATTTCTGGTAAGTCTAATTTGTTGTCATGTGCTCTAATGAAGGCTTCAAGTTTATCTCTGCTGTCTAACTCCAGAAGGGCACCTAAACTCCACATTATTGCAAAGCAGAACAATTTATGCAGTTGAAATGTAGTTGATAAACCACCTTCTTCCTTCGATGGAATCAAACCCTCCAGAAGATTGATAGACTGAAAATATTTTTAAAATATTTTGCATTAAGAAAACATTGCATAATCACTTTTTATTTTTAAACACATTGACACATGCATTATTTATACGTACTCAAACTTTAAATCATAATTTGAAAACCCATACAGGTTACCAAAGAATAACATAGAAATCAGAACTACAAATCCAAGAAAATAGATTAAATATATCTATATAAAACTAGATAAAATTTTCAAAATTACTTAAGTAATTTGATCATCAACTATCCTTTTACATTTTCTTATATAATAAATGTAGTTTAAGAGCTAGGGAAACAGAACAGCTTTTTAAGAGATTTTATAATCTCTAATGGGATATTCAGAACTCAAAAAATAGGTAGCCATTTATTTCCATTTTTGAGCTTGGAAGAACTTTCAGCATCTGTCTAATTAATTTCATCTAAATTATGGTCAATTAATGCATGTATCACATTAACTTCTAGACTAAAATATTACATTTTATGATTGCTTCACTCTGTTTCCTAAGGAACCTGATTCCAGATTCCAGAAATCTAGTAACTTGCTGTCGAGTTCCGTGATATCACTCATGAAGCCAAAGGTTTGACTGTGTTAGATACTACCACTCCTATTCCCTTTCTATACAAGGCAGTGTCAAGCACATTCTTCCAAAATATGTATTTTTAACAGCGAAGCAGATTTTCAGACAGCTTTATTCTTTGTGCTGCCTTGGATCTCATACTTGAAGTGGGAAGTAATGCAGTAACATACACATTTAATGCAGCCTAAAGGACCTAAGTATTCAGAATACTTTGGATTGCTTTAAAATTCAGTTTAAAAAAATGATTAATCAGTATCAATTACACTTCATGATATTAAAATAAGTTCACTTCTTTTCTTTGGAAGACAAATGGTTTATCTAATTATTTCCAGGACAGACCGTGTCTCAGTTTATCTGAACAAAATCTTTTTGTTCCCTCAAATACAAACTCAAGTTCAAAATTTCCCGTGATGCTCTGGGTCTTAGCAATACTCTGTAACAAGTTTTTGAAGAAATAAACCAGAAAAAAATTAAACTAACTTTAAAAACACACAAATGGTTGAAAAAAATCAGATTAAAACTTCAGCTTGCCCAGCATCTCATCTACATTAGTGACCAAAAGTGGACACTTAGAGATGACTAAAAATCACAAAAAACCTCTCTTGGCTTGTGGTGGTACTAGGGCTGGTTCTTCCTGCTGGTACTCTCTTCAGTTTGAGGCTTTCTGAACCAAATACACTATTTCTGCTTTTAGTACTCCTCTATGGATTTTTCCACCCTGAAAGTATCCAGGCTAGTCTTGAACCTACATAAACTTTTATCATCTATAACATCCTTTGGCAAGATGATCGATAGGTCTGCTCTTCACGGCATTGAACAGTTTGTTTTTCCCCTTTGTGAACCCCTTCATACTTATCTTAATTGAATTTCATTTGCCATTTTATTACCTATTTATTCAGTCTCATAAAGTCTGTCTACAGTTCTTCATGGTTAGCTGTTTTGTCCTTACTACCCTGAATAATTCAGTATCATCAGTAAACTTCTTCACCTAAAATTTTTCCAAATCATTTATAACATTTTGAACAGCGTTTGTCCCTGCAAAGTTCCCTCGGGACCAGTGGTAACCTCTGTCCTTCCTAAGAACTGATACTCCAATCACACATTTCCTATCTTCTAATCAGTTATTTACCTAGAAATGAACCTCCTATCTTCTGCTATGACTGCTGAGCTTCCGTGTAAATCCCTGGTAAAGAACTTTGACAAAGACCTTTGTTCCTTCATGCAGATCGTATCAATCAGATCTCCTTTAGCTACAAGTTTATTGACTGCTCCAACAGTCTTGTAAGGCAAGAATAACCCTTGTAAGGCAGGATAACCCTACACAAAAACTATGTTGAATCTCCTAAGGTAAATTATATTTCTTTACCTAATGAGGTGGGCCACATGGAAAGTCTGGAAATTACAAGGAGGAAAGCAAAGGTGAGATGACATTTTATACAAAACCATTATGGAGCTGTTGTAGATGAAAAAACAGCTTAAATTGTACACGCTAACAAATGGCAGATAGTTGGGTACACACGCATGTTTGAGTGAACATCCAAACCTGAACTTGAGAACTCAAGCACCAGTCTGCTATCTGCAAGACGCAACTGGCTTGAGACAGTTGTAAATTTTGAAAACACCTGAACTAAAGCGGCATGTCCTGAATTCCACAATCAATAGACACGGAGAGAACCACCAATCCAGAGGCTGAAAAGGTGCAGTGCTTCTGCACATAGATCATTTACGGCAAACCTGAGATCTTAGGGTTCTGGAAATGAGAGGCGGTGCGGAAAAGAAGGGTTCCCAAAAGAAATGGTCTTGGAAAAAAAAGGGGCCCAGAAAGCAAGAGGTGATTGGAAAAGATCCTGGAAACAAGGGAGGATTCTGGAAATCAGAGGGGTACACGCTGGATCATGCCAAGAAACCTTGTCAAGTAGTGCCCAATCCTGGTAGCTGCAAGCAGCTGCACGGCACAGAAACCAACATGACTTTTCGCCCTACCTTCCCACACCGAGAATTAAATCCCTGCTGGGAAGAGAAATCAAGACTACGTGAATGTAACACTAGAGGCAGAAGCAAGTGAGGAAGTGAATCTGTAAAATGAGGGTATAAAAGCTCTAGTCTCTCCGGTTCTTAGATGAACCCCAGCAAAGAGATCCACTAAGGGTTATTTACTCTATCACTCCTGTGACAGAAACTCACTATTCACAGGAAGAAACACTCAATACAGGCTAAATCAGGGAACTATTTCCCTGACGAAGCAGCATGAGTAGAATGCTGACTTGCTCGCACTTCCTGACAAGTCCTAGTCAAAAATAACATAGAAACTTCTAGTCACATGAAAAGTCTTCCGTGAAGACAACACCAATTCAGAGATTTCACAGATAAGAAAAGTAGGAGAAAAAAAAAAATTATCTCTCAAAATTTTGGCCATAGCACGTCCATCCTGTTCATCATCATAAATTGGTAAGTTACATAGTTTCTGCCTGTGGACTTCAATTCTATAGATATCCTAATTCCATTTGATACCGCACAGTTAATCTTAATGTGGCTATTAATTTGTAGCAAAATACTTTGAACCGTTGAAAATTTGAAGCTAAATCCTTAATGAACAGTAAAGAGATATGAGGTGCAAACTGACTAGTTAATATTAAATTGAAGTGTTATCCAAAACTATAGCTTGTCCACCCTCTTACTCAGGGGCACTACCGAATTTGTTATCAGAGTGTCAATATAAAACGGAGATTACATGGACAAATGGAAAGTCTGGAGACCTCAAATCTGCAGCTGACCACAGACTCAAACAAAGCAGCTGGAGACATGCAGTATAAGACTAAGAGTCTTGCAAAAATCTGTCAAACACAATTTTATTATTAATAAATCACTGATAAAATTTGGACTCCACTCAAGGTAGAATTCCAACGGATAGAAAGGGACACGCAAAAATTACTACCTTGGCCTTGGAAGAGCTGACTGACAGAATATAGCTATTACAGCTGGAGATGAAAAGACAATTAGAATTGTTCTTCACTTTCTCTGCTGACATTACCAGTAGGGTTAGACTCACCCTTATCACAATTTGTTTGATATTAAAAAAACTGGAATAAGACCACTAGCTTATTAATATATGCTTCTGAAAACTTACTGAAGCCTGCAAATTCCAGTCAACAGAAGACTAGCCTACATGTGAAGTGATAAAGAGACGTAAAATTTTCCCCTGCACATCTCTAACAGTTCCTCTTACGTTGCCTCACAAACAAATACTGAGTTTGAGATTTTCTTTATCAGGAAACAATCTTTTCGAATTAAATTTTATTGCTATTAAAAGTTCTCTTTGCTATTTCTGCATACTTACTATAGTCAGTCAATTCATACAGAATTACACAATATCTGCTTTACCTGCATGATGTAGTTACATTCCAGAAGCTCTATTTTTGGATTAAGGTTTAGTTTCATGTATGTATATGCTGGTTCAAAGATTCTATCATACAAATTTTGTAAAACTTCAGCTTCTTGAGAAGAACGTTTTTTCAGCCATGCCTGAAAAACATCCACAATATTTTTCTGTATGAAATGTATAACAAAGTAAAGTTAGGAGTAGCCAGAAATGATAATCTTACTTGCAATATTGGTCTCCAGCTGAGGGCAGAAGAACTGATATAGATCATACCCATTCGAGAAACTGTCGCTGGAGAGGCATTCTCAATGTTGTGGACCTCAAATAACAGTTTACATGTAGGAGACATAGGAATTCGATCTCCATTTGCTAAAGTGAGGGTCTTGTTATCATCCAAAACTGAATTTAGATTCTCAATCCAGATTGCATCTACAGGGCCATCTAAAACCAGAAACACATTTTCACCTGGAAAAACAATCAAAAGAGACATAGTTCATAACACAACGCTGAAAAAGCAAGAAAATAAGTTTACAAAAGATGGTCTACAACTTAACGTATAAAAATGTATTTTGTCTACTGTAATTCCTGCCATCTCCATGGATGCTCATTACTGTATAAATCGCACATTTAGTTAAGGAACTGTTTTTGAAACAATTATTAGCAAATGAGAGCACAAGTATATCTTTATGATGTTGAACATCTGTGGTGAAATCACCTTGGCTGGCTGTCAGGCAGGCACCACTCTCTCCCTCCACACTACTCAACAGCACAGAGGCAGAAAATAGGGTGAAAGTGCTTGTGGGTTGAGGTGAAGACAGGGAGATGACTTATGAGCTACTGTCATGGGCAAAACGAATTAATTTTCCCCAAGTCGAGTCTATCGCAAATTAACATAGACTTGGATGATGAGAACCAAAGAGAAGAAACCAAAACACCTTTCCCCTACCCCCTTCCCTTCCTCCAGACTCAACTTCTTCCCTCCTCCCTTCAGAGCAGCACAGGGGGGAAATGGGGCATCTAACATTTTGTTGCTAAAATAAGGGTTCTTTGGGTAACTAAACAAAAGACATTGAGTATTCACAGATTCCATTTAAATTAATGAAAACTACAATCACTCCAATTCTGAAAATCTTGTTGTTTTTCTCTTATTTTGAAACACAAATACAGATGAATACGCCTAAATTTTGGCAATCAAATTTTAAAATTCTGGCTTAGTTTTGAACACAGAAAATTTCAAATAGACAAAATATAGACAATTCCAATAAAGAAAATTCAACTTTCTTTTAAAAAGAACCTCCGTCTAGGAAGGTTCCCTGTAAGAATTCCCTTTCTTTAATAAATAATGAATCCCTGTGAAAAGGAATTTCGGTATTCCAACCCTAAAGTACTGAAATATAAATATGGGTAATCAACATACTAAAAAAACATGCAATAAACATTATTTTAAAGCTAGTGCAATTAGTACAAATAAATCTAAATTATAGTTTATCAGCTTTCAAATAACACACTGTAGAACTGAAGTGGCAAGGAAACGAGCAATATTTTAATGTAGATACACTACTGAAATAACGATTTTTAAACTGTTGCCCTTTCTTGAGAAGTGAGCTGTAACCTCACCTATGTTCCCTATCGTTTCTCTCAACAGGGAACTTCAGCACATTTGCAAATTGAAGATGCTTTTTTTCAACATTCATTCAAGAGATATTCTTGTGATACCACACACAAAGTATTTTCATACCCCTTTTAGCTTTCAGTGTTTTCCTCCACAGTGTAGAAAAGATTCCATCTGTCCAATCATTAGTTGCAGCATCTAATTTTCCAAACATCTGAGGAACAGTAATAGCTTTGGGATTCATACGCATTTCTCTGTGAGGCTGGCCACATTCTGTCAGTGCTCTCATTAATATAGTTATGACCGTTGTTTTTCCAGATCCACTAGGTCCAAGTATCATCAGCCCGTGGCGTACTAGAGATGTTTCATATAACTATGAAAAAAACCCAAAATATTTTAAGAAATATATGCTTTTGGAAGATTTTGCTTGCATTTAATAGATATAATAGTCAGCAATTATAAGTGTATTAGACATAAAAAAATTACATGCTCAGAATGGAAATCAGCATGCATTTGCTGATTTTTAGAGTTTCATGGAATAATACATACCTTCACATCCTAATCTTCTAAGCACCTAACAAGTTTAATATAAAACAGCCTACAGGACTAAATTTTGCCTAAACTTTTGGAAAGCAACTGAAAATAATTTTACCAGATTTTAAAAAGGATTTTCTGTATTATTCAAAAGGAAAAATGAACAGTAACAAAACATTAATGCCACAGAATGACTAATCGCTACAGTGCTAAAATACTTGAGTATATGAAATAAACATAAGGGCTGCACTTCCTCCAGGGCTGTGGATGGGTTTAGGTTCAGGAGAGTTCTTTATTGAATATTCTATTTTTCTTCTAATATTAGCTTTAGGCTTGCCATGGAAGTGGCAGGGTCTGCCTACACAAGTATCTCCTTTCGGAGCAACTGAAAGGAACAAAAAGTGGTAGTCCTCCTGGATGACAGAACCTTGTAAGGAGAAAATCTATAGCTGCTTGCTCTGCAAGCTGGGTAAAGGCTTGTGTCAGTCTAGGAGGAAGGTCTACAGGTACCACAAATCTAAACTAAGATCAAGTCCACCATGAACTTGACAATTTCAAACTTCTTATTCCCAGTGGAAGATGGAATTTGTTAAGGCATGAGCAATCTTCCTATGACCCATTTGGCAACCAGAAATATTAAGCTGTGAATACAACTGTGAAGCATGACTTTAAGCAGGATGGTCAAAAGCGTTCTCCCATGCAAAAACTCTGCTGGTCACCAGTGTGAAGCCCTGTGAAAGACAATACGGATCCAGCCTGCAGAGTGTGGAGCAAAACCTTCTGTAAATTGGGTGGAGTCTGAGCAGAGCCATAAATACACCTCTGGTTTGATGACAGAGACATGATATTTTAGTTGCTGTGAAGTAACCTAAGGCAGAATGTTGCACTTTGTAGAATACTGTAATGCATTGTATCTTTTGCTGTCATCACACAAATCAGCAGTTTGGTTTTTTGAAGTTTGGAAATTTTGAGAAATCTGGTAATAAGCATAAAGGTTAGTGCGCCTTTCTTGGTTTACATCTAGTTTATTTTAAGATACTTAGTTCATAAGAGCCAATAATGTAGTTTCTAATTTAAGACTGTACAGCTGATGAACAAGCCTAGCACTTCAAGGCCTGTAGTTTCAGGAAGTCTTTATTTTGAGGTTGTGTTTGAAGAAGATGCAAACACATTTACATAGGCTAAAATGATCTCACTTGTCAGTTATCGTAGCGGTACTCTCAGCTTCACAATCAGCAAAATTACAAATAAATGCTTCTAGAGCATGTAGTTTTCAGCCATTAGAAATGGCCAAGGTTATCAGTCTTAACCATTAATGGTATTTAATTACTATCCAAAAAGTAGGGATAAGTAAAACACAAAAATTAGAAGACAGCGTAATTCTTCTCTGGCTGACAAATTTTACAAAGCAAAATTCAACTTCAACTAATGGAATTAAAAAACAAATCAATTTCACAATCTCAATGAGTAATACAGCCAATAAAGTAAAGCTGATCACAGTTTAAAGCTTGGTATTACAAGAAAAATTGTTCACGCCTTGTTGCCTGCATGCAGAAAAAACCAAAGAATCAGAGAACACAGGAAATCAACAGTCATAACACCTAAAGACATCACTATCGTGAACAATTACGGTGTGCTCTCAGAAAAGAGCAGAACAAAAAGACAAAAGAGCAACAATGCTCTAGTTACTTTTCTAGCTTGCTAATTTATAACTATTTTGTCATTGTCTAACTGTTTATTTCTTGAGTTGTTAGTCTGATGATTCGTTAAGTTTGCTCTTTAAAAAAGGATGTGTATAGGGAAGTGCGTTGGCATAAAAATCATCAGAACATGAGTTAATTCAAAGTTAGTTTCAAACATGATTGCATGTCATAAATACAGTCATCAGCCGTTTAAATGTTGTGTTGGAGTACAGGTCCAAAAAGCCATTTCAGCACCTTTTTTTTCCTTCATATTAGCTACATATTTATTCATCACAGCACTTCATAAAAATTATCCCACACTAAACACAAATTACCATAATCCAAAATTACGGTTTAATCATTGAATCATTTGTTTATGAAGCATAACATCTTACAAATATTCTGAAGTAAAAATTATTTCTTGCAACACCTTAACAATATTCTCTCTTTGGCTTCGGAATCAGAGCACACTGCAGGTCTAAAGAGTTTGCAATGCAAGATAAAAACATACTACACTCCTGGCAAGCTGCCAGCACACAGGGTCTACTTTTCTGTTCCTCAAGTGCCAAGAACCAAGTGGTTTTCATGTCAAAAGTAAGCAATTTCTTGGTTTATGTAAACAAGACAGTAATAACGTTTTGCTACACAGTCTCTCCTTCAGATTCTGTGTATTTTCTTGCTCATTTTTACTAAAGCAGAGAGGGATACGTGTTCCACTTAGGTGGGGTCTTTCCACACTCTTCAGGTGGCTAACGCGCTTCAGAAGGATGTTAGCTTTGAACACTACAGATACAATTTGACAGAGGCTGGGCTTGTTCATATCTTTTGCAGTCTAGAAAGCCTCTAAATCTCTTTAGAGCTTTATTCTTCCAATCACTCATGCACTTGAGAGAAACAATTCCCTTTTCATGGCAGAATCATTCTTATTATTGACAGTATTTTTGGTTCTTTCATTTTATAGTACCTACATGCATGTTTATTTGCATGCTTAGCCTTGTTATAGGTTTCCATAAGCTTGTCATAGCATATGCTAAGACCTGTATGCTCTGTGCCTCCTTATACTTTAGCTCTTTCAACTCAATACAGGTAAGATAGATGATTACCCAAGCAGCGTACAGCTTCTCAAAACTTATGTGAGAAAAAACTTTGTCTACTACAATGTCTGCTCAAATTCATCATGAAGACTCTTCTTCATTACAGAAACATATTTAAGTCAGAAATACATATCTCTTACATTTCTCTTTGCCCTTATAAAGGTCTTTTAGCTCTCTCCTCCTACTTAGCAGTTGGGCCCTGACTATGTTTCTTCTCACTCTTTATTTACTGCTTTGGCCTTCAAAATGCCTCCCAGTCCTTCTTATGCTGTGCTGTCCCTACTCTAGTCTAAGAAACTCCTGTTAGAGACCCATGTAGGTGCCTCGCTGCTTCATTCAGATGCGCAGATGCACTGCCATATCTGGGAACGGCTGGGTTAAGTAGCACGCTTTATGATATTTCTTTACTTTTTCTGGATAATGTAAAGAAATAAAAATGCAAGTCTCTTAGATTGATCTTCCTTGATGTGGTGTACACACAGCCTTCAGTTTTTCCCCATATTAGAAACACAGGTCCTTGAGTTAAAGTGTTTTAACAACTAACATGGTGTTCTGACTCCTGTTTGTTAAAGATGTTTTGGGAAAAAAAAAAACTTTTACCTGAACAAGCTTAAGATTCCATGGTGGATGGTTTATCAATCCTGCCTCTTCAACCTGATTACCTACTGCAGCCTGAAGCTCAGCATAGGTACTGCTGTCCAACTGTAACCCCGGAAAGACATCGTTGATAAGACTGAGGAACAAAGGCTCATCTTCATCTATCTGAAGCAAACAAAAAAAATTACTAAGTGCTTAAAGTATAGTTACCTAAAGAATGCTCTCAAACCAAAAGTAATCTCTATTTTAAAATAATAAACAGTAAGAATATATTTTCTAAATACAGTAATAATAAACAGTAAGAAGATATTTTCTAAATTTAAGTTTATAAACACAGCCAGCCAACTTACTACAAAAATAACATTTTTTAAAAAATGTCATTCATATGCCGTGTGAAAAATAAATTCAAGACTGAAAGAAATTTCTCGCTGAGTAGACACTGGAATCTATTTGTAAATTTGACTTTTAAAACACTTGCAGCATATATTGGAAAGGACATCCTACCTGGAAAGACACTTTTAAAAGTCTAATTTAATGAACACTCAAATTATTCAGTTTGCTTATGGTACAGCAGACAGACTGTGCGCAAGTCAGCACATAAAATGTCACACCCACAGCTAAGTCACTATTCGCCTACTTGACTTGGCACTCTGAGCACGGTTTACAAGTCTAATAAACTCTCACTGCTGATTAATGATAACATGGTGATTACCATTGTTTCAATGTTTGAGATTTTTTTCTAATCTTCTAGAAAGCCCCATGAACCATCTAGAAGACTTGCCTCTACATGGTGCTAGAGTATTAAATTAGATTCTTACCAGCTTAGAAAGATTCATATCTCTTAGCCCTCTCATAACAACACTTAGTTCACTTTCGTTTGGCCTGGCCCTCTTTTGGGATCCAAGAGTCCTCAGTACTGAAAGGATATTCCTCAGACCAAAGTCATAATGGACCTAGAGAATGGAAGAAGGCTTATGCATCAGTGACAAGTTCTCGAGCTTTATTTCATCAGCATATTAAACCTTACTTGCATATTGTATAGTATAGTTGCCTTGCCTGGAAAAGGTAGCTAAAATAGGAATTGTTACTGTTTAGGAATTATTCTATTATATAAATGAAGGATAATAAGGTTATTTTCTGGAAAGGGTATATGGTTTTTCTTTTCTAATTTAAATTTGACTTCACCATTTCTAATGCCATATTGCAACTATTTTGTAACTCTGTATAGCAGGGCTTTAAAAAAATAATAGTTCCGTTCCAGGCTGGGCCTTTGCAACTGAGGCAGCTTAAAGCCAAGACTTCAGATCAAGGCAGTGCTCTGAGGAGAAGGGCAACAAGTCAAACTTGAGACATTCCTCCTATAATTTCCAATTTCCAGCTACTTTCTCTAGCCCTAGACAAGTCTTACGGAAAAATGGCATCAACAGGTTAATATTTACCTGGCTGCCACTTTAGGCAGAGAACCTCATGTACTTGCAACGATAAACTATCATTCTATAACAAACAAAAATGTGTATGTGACTACATATACATGAATTAACACGGTTATTTGTTCAAAAATTTTATAGAGATGTTTGTTTTAATCTACTTCAGCATTTTCTAAAAAGCACAAAAGTGATGCTTCAAAACAGTCTGCCCAACCCAAAAACTACGCAATTGTATGGTGTAAATAGGAAGACAAGGAGGAAAGGAATACACAACACTACCTGCTTAGTGAGCTGCTCCTCACAAAGTTTATAAAGAACAAAGAATTTCTGAGACAAGATCACATTCTCGATAAATCCATAACTTGCAAGCTTAACTCTTATAATTATCTGAAAACCAATTTTTTTAGAAATCCCATTAGTTTTCCTAAACACAGGTAAGCAAAGTAAAATACTTGGTTTTTTCCTTTCAGTTAGGTCAGTAATGGTACCTGTCTATCCGGAACCATCATTGCGACAGTTCTAAACTGAATTTTGAGATTTTCTGGTAGTTCTTGACGTCCAGCATATCCAGGATTCTATGTAAGAAAACATGCTGTGTTATTATTTACAACAGTCAAAATAACATCTTTTTTATTGCTCAATGCAAGTAAAATTATGCATAAATACCTAGATCTGCTCAGAGTTAGAACCCTTGTCTACTAATGATTAAAATGTGAAGAAAAAACATCAACCATAACTATAAATTTAATAACCTAAGCGTAATTGCCAGAGAAATAACTGAATTTCTTTATCATAGCAAGTCAGTAATCAGAATATTAGAATTTCGTGAAACACAATGTAGTTGGTTGATTTCTTCTACCGCATTCCCAATGCGAATGAAGCTTTTGTTACCTTTTGCATAAGGTTTTGTAATATTAAAAATTCGATGTCTAGGAAAAGCCAATATAATTATTATTAATAATAATAATTTTAAAATATAACAGCAGTCTACAGTGAAGAAATATTAAGATGCCCTTCTCTATTTCTTCTGTCTAAAAGGCTAGCTTAAAGTACTGAATCTCACTGAATGTTTAATGTGAGTGAATCCTATCCACTGAAGTAAGAATCATACAAGAAATTGTAATTCTCTTTTAGTGAGAGAAATTATGTTAATAATGGCTCAGGAATACACAGAGAATATTTTGTAATCACACAGTAAAAATAAGACAGTCAACAAAATTAAAACATAAAAACTTTACAACCAAAATCACATGAAAGGAAATTTTAACGACCAGATCAAGAGAGTTTGACTACTAGAAGATTTCTGGAAACTTGCTGCAAACATGAGCAGTAAGTCTGACATCAAACAGGTGACATTTAAGAAATCAGAAGCAGCCAAAACGTATGTATGACGTCCTCAGTTATTATCCTGCACTCAAGCATGCAGATGCAGATTTTAATTTCCCATAAAGTCATCTTGGACTGCCATCAGCCTTGGCATTAGGAAACACACACTATAAAATACCCTGCCCATGAGATTACAGAAATTAGTGCTATGAAGCCTCAGGCACCTGATGGCAACAAGGCAGCATACTCTGAAGGTTGATATTCTAAATCCAAGAGTTCGTGTTTCTCCGTTGGGTAATGGTTGACAACTAGTGTAAAACTACACACACTGCCCTGCGTATCTTTTTTGTGCAGATTATCTGTTCAGTTGTGGGACCTAACTTTCATCTGTACATACTGCAAGTCTTTTTCACAAGTAGTCATTAGAAGAAGGGGAACAATGCATCTCAAATACCACCTATAAACACTTCATGATATAAGACACACAGTTGTCATAACACGTGCACTGATTCCAGGACTGACGCACAGAGCAGAGCGGGCCCCTCGGCCACAGAAGGCCAAAAGTGAACATCCAGCCTTGTGTTCACCACTTTAGACACATCCTGTATCAACAAATTAAAGAATCTGATAAATTTTTTGCACAGGTTTTGGAAAGACCTGGTGTCACCACAGTACAGGGAGGGTGGTTCATTCCAGAATGATCATGCTTGTCTCTTCTGTAAATCAGCCTGAAGAATTCTCTTTATATATCCTCGTACTCGTTAGACAAGACATATGTCCTTTTCCTATATCTCCTGCTTTAAATGGATGCTCTTTTTTTTCCCCCCCTATAGCATCTTTCTCACTAATACTATAAAGCATTTCACGCTGAGTTAAGTAAAGCATATTAGTGTTTCAGTCCTCTCAGTGAGCACAGAGAATTCTGGAAATTTGGCCAAACACTTAGTCTTCATTATGAACTGCAATTCAGTAATGAAGGGACATATTATGAACCTTTTCAATAATCTTAAAGTAAAAATGAGGGCATGTAATTCATGAATAATCAGATTATTTATAAATTCCAGTAGTTTAGTCTAATTCTATTGCAACAGCATCACTTAATAAAACCGGTTATTTTCACCTTGTCATATAATTAACTTGCATATAGTACAATTGTCACTTCTCTGGAATTATTACTACATTTACCATTGTTAGGAAAATTCCAAACTCTGGATTTAAATCTACGCAGTCTCCATCAGAAAAAATGAACTGCTTTTTTCTTTCTTTTCTTGCTGTCAAAATAATATAGATTTGTTGTGCTGCTACTGACAAGACAGGCAACTCAATTCGGTTGAATTCATCAAAACATCCCCAAGATCCGGACTGTGCAAGACCTAAAGCAGGGACAGAATAATATATTATCTGTTGTTCTTTGTGCATATTTGAGATATCTGAACTAGATGACTTTTCCTTCAAATAATTAAATAAAATTGGTTTTATTTATTGCCCTGTGGCCGAGGTCAATATTCCTCCAATCCACCTGACTATTTCTGTATCAGTCTGAATTAACTAGTTGACTTATACAAAATGCTTAAAAGTAAATCAAAATCAGAAAAAATCTTCTGAATGTTTTTGTCCAGATCTTTCTGTGAACGTAGCCTTTTATTGTAGAGTGGCAATTGAATTATTTGCAAAAAGCTGTATCATTATTCTAAAAAAATAGAAATGAGTTACTTAGAGCTACAAAAGGCTAACCTTAAATGTTATAACAAAAAAACCCACAAGTTTTTTATTTTTGTTTGGGTCTTCCAGCCTTCCCAATGCTTTTAAAATTACTTTTTACTTGCTTCTTATAAATCATAAAGGTTAAAATTAAAAATTAAAATTATTTTTGCTCTAACTAGGGGTTTAAATAAAACTGTGAATCTCACAAACAGAAAATAATGATCTTGGAGCATATATATTTATGCATAAGCATTATCATTTTAAGTCCACACTAAACTACGAGTTTTTCATGTAATGGTAAAGGGTATCAACGTCATGAAAAGTGTTGACAATGCTCCACATGAACTTGTCTATGAAAGACAGACAGGAAGACAGAGAAAGAGAATTAAATCTAAAGATAAATCTAGAAGCACTGTATTAATAACAACAACATTTTCATAAAGGATTTTCTCAGTTGCCCTAATTTCAGTTTGGAAAAGTAACACATATTTAGTAGAAACTAAGAGAACTGCTATTGTTTTAGCAACATTTTATGAGAAAATTTGTAGCAGTTTCTTTTTCTGAATGATATTAAAGTACCAATAGGTAGTGGTTTTCTTTCATGTATACTGAAAGATAGCTATTTAAAAGTGAAAAATTTATTGAATTCATTCAGGGTTTATTATTGTTACACAGTTAAGGCTAAATCACTTTAAAGGGATTCTGTCATGTACTGAAAGATTCTCTAAAATTTGAATAGCTTGACTTTCAAAGGGGCGAAATGTTTATAAACCCACAGCTTTAGGCACTTTTATGCCACAATTATTTGCTTGCTAAAAAGAAATATTAAAAAAATAATTGATAGTTTCACCCCTTGCTTCTCAATACATACAATACCATAACTTTGAAAAATGAGCTGACAGAAACCTCGTGAAGGTCAAGTCCTTTATCTGGAACAGAACTACTCCTTCCAGCAGTACAGGCTTGGTGCTGACTGGCTACAAAGCAGTTTTGCAGAAAATGACCTGGTGTCCTGCTTAACAGCTGATTGAGCACGAACCAGAATTATGGCCTTGTGGCAAAGGCAGGCAGCTGCCTATGGGGCAGGAGTGTAGCCAGCAGGTTGACAAAAATCATTGTTTGCCTCTGCTCTGCACTTGCCAGGTAGCAGCTGGAGTACTGGGGCTTACCAACAGGGCAGAGGCATCGAAACACTTGCATGACTTCAGCAGGTGGCTGCCACGATATCCTCCAGTGGCTGGAGGACATGACACAGTGGGACAGGCTGAGAGAACATGATTTGTTGACCCTGAAGAGAAAGTTAAGGGGAAAGCCTATTGCTGTTCATAAATAGCTGAGAGAAGGCATTGAAACATTTGAGCCACGCTCTTCTCAGAGGTGCAGCGGAGACAACAGACATAGGTTTCAATGTAGGAAATTCCAAGGCAACTGAAGTATAAAAAAACCATTACCATGACGAAGGTCAAACACTTGAAAAGGGGCCTAGAGGTGTTGTGAAACATCCATTCCTGCGGATACTCAAAACCCAACATGAATGAGGTCCTGAGCAACCTGCTCTAATTAGACCTGCTAAATGACATGTGGAGGTCTCTTCTATCCTACACGAAGAAGTCTTACCTTTGAAAATCCTACCCAAACCTCTGAAGTCCATTTGATCAGAGCAGTTAAAGACTACTACGTATTTTCCCAGAGCCTTTCCCATGTCTTTCGTTGTTTCTGTTTTGCCAGTTCCAGCTGGTCCTGCTGGAGCTCCTCCCATGTTCATTCTCAAAGCCTGCGCTAAAGTTATATAGCACCTACAAATGTTAATTCATATTAATTTATTAAATCATATGAAAAATATATGTGTATATATAAGATAACAATGAGTTATGCAATGGATTCTACAGCTCTTATGTCAAAACTTTCTTCATAAAGCAGTTCCATTGATTTCCATGAGTGCAAAAAGTTGAGAGGTAAAAGTCACAAAATACAGCATTTAAACATTACTTATAAAAGCAAAAAATTTTATCTGGTGTTAATTTAGCTCGTTACAATCTGTGAATATTAGATAGGCTGAAAAGTTAATGCACACCAGACAAAGGAATTTAATTGCCATTAACTCTTTTGGCAGTTACAAAGTGGAGATTCTGCTGTTGAATTCTGCCACCTCATCATATTCTGCAGTATCTTAATCTGTACGTATTTCATTAGGTTAGGTTACCTTGGTCTGAATCCTCAAATGTGAAAGAATAAGGATATATGGCCCCTTCTACAATTACGGTTAAAAATTTTTTACAATTTTAAGAAAAAAAAAAAAAAACACAACTAAGCTTTACCTTTTTTTTTTTTTTTTGTCTGAAAAAGTTTAGACTACTATTTTAGTTATATGTGAGTCAGTTACAATTTAAATTCATGGTATGGTATGGAAGACTAATACTAAAGGAAGTAAATGACAAAGGTCCTATACAAACACTGTTAAATCAACTCAACATACCTTGAACGCACTTCTAGCTAAAGTATTTCTAGTTTTAATCCATAATTGAACAGAGTTTAATAACTAACTCGTTCCTACAGTTTAGCTTGAATCATTACAACATATTATGCCAAACTTGCACTGCAGGGACCTTCATGTTTTCTAAACAATAAGAAACTTGAAAGTGACATCAATGTTTTACTTCTACGGTTCTACTGATGTCAAGGCACATTTTGGGATAGAATTTAACATTTTGCATGAGAACACTTGATTGTTGAGGGCAGTACCAGTTCACTGCACAAAGGTACTGAATGTTCCATAGCGTCACAATAACAGTCGTAGAAGCATAAAGTTAGAATGTCTTCTGGAGAAATAAAGGTGTTCAAAAAGCTGTACAGACGTATGCTCCACACAGGCAGCAAAGTAAATGATTGTAGGTTGGAAGTTATTGTTGGTTCATGAGGGGATCTTTTTGCAAGTGGAGTATCTTTTGGCCTTCTATTTTATCATTTGATCAGAAGTGACATCTCAAGAAAGGAATAAATGGAGAAAGAATATTGACAAGAAAAGAAGCCAAGAAATTCCCAAGAGGAAAAAAGAAAAATCGTTCTCATGGTTAAGCCACATTTGAAACAAAATTAATGGTCGTTTGCTTGCCTGGCTACAGCAGAGTGGCAGGGGAGGGCATACAGCCAGGATTTTGTCAACATCTAGATTCTTATGGACAAATCGTAACTGTTTCCCAGTACCGATAAGATGACAGACTGATTGTCTTAGACTTTCAAAGACATGGGTAGCCCCAAAATCTTTATATTTGACCTAACCTTTTCTTCAGTAAAGATATACTACCAAACTATATGTTACTGTATAACTTTTAAATTATTCATTTCTCTTGCCATATCTTTTTTGTAAGACTGGGCAGTGATAAAACTTTTCTAGGAATTAGTAGATGCACAAATTCATGAGACTCTTATTTTTTCTAAAAAAGCATGATTAAGCAAATGTATGAAGATTTTAATGAGTGACCTGGCCCACACAGAATTTAATTCAGAATGTACCTCTTTGAAAATATATGTTAAATAAACTCTCTATATTAAAAGCATTCATTATATAAAAATTGTTTTTCTAACCTGTCTGTAAGAGGTGTTATAACCAGACGATCAGTGCAACCCAGAAATTCATTTTGGTAAACAAAATCAACGTCTGTAATGGATACCAAGACTCGATCAAGATTCTCTTTAAAGTAGAATCTAGACTGCTTTAACCATTCAAAATGAGTTGGTGATTTGATGCACATTTTTACCTTAAAAGAAAGTAAATAAATGTATATGTTATAACTGAGCATCCACATTTATTTTCTTCGGTAACTGTGATAAAATGCTCATTTGTGTGAGTATAAAGACTGATTACTCAGGATACAGTTCCTATGTAAGTAAACTGAAATACAAAGAAGCATCACATAATACGTTCCGATGTAGGCTAAACTGATACTAAAACAAGTCCTGATCATCACAACATCTGTGTTAATCAAATAAATCTTAAATTGTTTTGGTAGTGCAGCTCACCTTCCAAGTGAAATTAGCAAACACCACACTGCTAAATCCACCAAACACATTGGAACAAAGGGCAGGACAAAGAAAGGACCTGATCGAGGCATGGAAGGCAGATTGTATAGAATCTAATAAGCTCATGTCATCAGCAGTAAAAATGTGAGAGATGTAGTGCTGAGGGATGGCATTCCTCAGGGAATGGAGGAACATAAACAGTTTAGCACAGTCTAAAAAGTTCAAGTATAGGTTTGCCATTATCTGTTGATTTTAGTAGGTTTTTTTCTTCGTTTGTCTTCTATGTATTCTCTTTAGGAAGCAGAAAGCCGGTAGCCTGCTCTCAGAAAGAGTAGGAGAGACAGAAAGAAGAAACTAGGAGATGTGGAAGATATTCTATCATTGCAGTAACTCTAGAACGGGTGGAGCGAAGGTACAGCCTAGTGGCAACTACTGAGATTCTGTAACGAGCCAAGAGGAAAGTATCTGTGACAAAGCTACAACACCCTCAGCAGACTCAACCTTTTTAGTTATGCAAGTAACAGTAATTCAATAGTTTTTCAAAGAAAAGACATACTAAAATATTTTTGTCTATCAAAACAATTCTGTGGGAACAAGTAGAAAATTGAAATATTCTAAGAAAGGTGTAAAACTGAAGCAAATATTTAGATGACAGAACTGATGGATTTTATTCTAGTCTAAGTAAAAATGTACTATTTTTACTACAAGTGAGATTATGGAAGTCTCTGTCTTACAGACACATGCATACATGTGTAACTGTATCTGCCACACACAAGAAAAAATATGATGACAGAAAATGCATTTAATTGCCAGAAATCAAAATCTGTACTTTACCAAATCATCAAAAATATCACGCTGATGCACATGAATGGTAATAAGCGTTTCAAATTTCACTCTGTCAAACTTGGAAAGATCATGCGTGGTTTGTCTAATCAACATATTCAGAATCCCCAGAAATCTCCTGTTGGTTACTTGCATGATTTTTCCATCCTCTTTAGCATTCTGTAGAGCTTCTTCTGAATCATGTGTCCACAACATTTGAATTCCCAGTAAACCAACCTACAAATTTAACATGTGAAAAAAAATACAAAAGAATCACTTGTTGAACACTAGCCTTATTAGAGAAGCCTTAGGTGGAATAGGAATAATAAATTATGGGGCAGAGAGTCCCAGATCATCACTACATTCAGCACAGGGCTATCCTACCAGTATGCTCTGCACGAGCTAATTGGCTCTGCTCTGGTACTGGAAAGTCCTGAGAAAACACTTAGAAGCTTTTATGAAAATTTGTCCCATACAGAGATATACACAATTTAAGGACGAGTCTCAGTTTCACTTAAAATCTCTTAGTGTACCCCAGTATCACAAACATAAACAGGTCTCAAATGGTGGGGAGAAGTCCTTATAAAAATTTCCCATTGCTACTTCATAGCTAATTAAAGAACACTTAAAAATAATGCTGTGCATTTCTGCTGAACATGGGATGGATTGCTGTCTTTCTAACACATTGCCATGACCTACAGCACACTGAACTGTAAGTTATTTTGCTTCCAAATAAAACATCCTGTAAGTCTCTGGATTTATGTAAACTGCAGTCTCTGATTTTAATTTACAACATGAGGCACACCCATGACAAAACAGGATAGACGAGAACTGTACCAATATCTTTCCCCCCCACCCCATTTCTACATTCACAAAACAGCAAGACCTGAAGATTTGACCCACTCACTCTTTCTACTTTTCTATCTCACTCTACTCATAGTGAGTTCATGGTTACAGAGACTGTGTAGCAGGAAATATCTCACTATTTTAGAACCATTAGGCTACCATCAGTAGAGTCTAAACCAAATTTATTTTAGAATGACCAATTAATCATAGGGAAAAAAAAAATCTTTCAGTGTGACTTTTTCATGCTACCTATAACAGGAGCTTCTCAGACAAGAACAAGGCAGTTTGAAGGAAAGAAAACATTTCAAATATTTGTCAGTATTTTGCCTGATTTCTTCTCTGTCCTGTAACACAGCTTTTCTTCCTCTGTACTTTAAATTTCTTGGCCAAAGACCATTTTCTTCTCCCCTGCCTTCTAACAATGACAATTCATTGAACATAAAAACATTTGGATTAGCAAGACACAGGACAGAAGACTTTGCACGTAGTAATAAAGCCACTTCAAAACGTCTGATGTTCAAACAAGACAAAGAGTCCTTACCTGTTTAAAGAAAAGTAGTAGACTTTTTAAAATAAATGATGTTGAGATAATACGTAATTACATCATAAATACAGCTTTAAGATAATTCCATCCAGTATTTAAGTGTAGTGATTTTTTTTTTTTTTTAATCAGCAATGTATGGGCTAGTTTAAATATTTGCGGAATTTCTAATAAAAAAAATTACACCCACCGCTGCTGATTGCAAAATACAGAGTCAGAATTTGTACAGGATGGGAAACAATTCATTACTTGTTAATGAAATTTATGAATTATTGGTAAACTGGAGAAGTCTCTAGGCAAACTAGAATCCTTCAAGATAGGCTTCTACTAGGACTGCATTTTCATTGTGACAAATATATGAGGTAGATCTTGTAAATGACGAGATAAATGACCATAATCGTAGCTCTTGCAATCTGAAATTATGAGAGAGAAATCATTCTGCACAGGAAATTTTATTTGCATCTCAAAAGGGTTTGAAATCCACCACAGAAAATATAAACTCTACTTTATATTCTCCAAGAGAAGAAAAATGTCTTTTTAAAGTAGATTACAAGAAAAATACTGTGCTATACACAGGGTACCAAAAATGAAGTATTAAGGATTGCCTTCTGCTGAGTAGATCCTTATCCTTGTTTCCTCTATGAAAACTTCCTCATACAGACAATCCCATGTGCTCTTTACATCCCCGCACATACACAGCCCACACTGCACACACAAATCCACATCCCGTTATCTCACCTGTGCTGGGAAGCGATTAAGAAAATCCAGCAACTGAAATCCTGAGTCACTAATTTGGTAATACGCTGCCCTAATGATGCCGTGCAATGAAACCTGCTGCACACGCAATAAATCCTGCAACCAAAGTTCCACCGGTCCCTTTGCAATCACTGGAGTGTCCAACTGAAAAATTAATACAAGTAAAAGGTACAAAGAGAACATAGTTACTAAACTTCTGCTCAAGAATGTTAGTTACTAAATAGTTACTACATTTCTATTCAAGGCAACTAGAGTTCAATTTCAATAAAAACGCTATAAATTTATTTAATGAAGACATATTATAGTTTTGTTACACTATGCCTTGAAATGTTCAGTTGTGATTAACAGTAATTCAATTTAAAATATATATGTTCAATAATAGAGCAATTTATCTATCAATAATATTTCTGAAAAATTTTTTCAGGTAATTACTGGAATTTTTTCTCCTTCTCTCGATATGACTGCCAGTATGCGATCATAATCCTCTGGGTGAAAGTCAACTTCATTTATATTGTCAGATACGGAAAGCAGATGTGGCTGTAACGACAAGTCAGAAGTCATTCAGTGTAAATACATAACATCAGCAAAGAGAAAAAAACCTCAAATACAGTTATCCTGCCAAGTTTCATCTGAACTTACAGATGAATTTCAGGCTATCTGTAGGTGATGATTACAGAAATGGTTGCGTAGGATTTTATCTCCATTTGCTGGTGTTTTTTTGGGGGGTTTGGTTTTGTTTTGTTTTGTTTTTGTTTGGTTGGGTTTTTTGTTTGTTTTTTTGTTTGTTTTTGTTTTTTACAATTTCCAAATATGATCTAGCAGAACAGAGATCAGCTATTGTGCGAGATCAACTATCTTACCTCAATCAATCCTCTAACAATCCAGACTAACTGGATGAGGTTTGCAATACACAAAGCAGGAAAGTCTCACAAGGTCCCTTCTGTTAGTTTAGTTGGGAAAGGAACCACCAGCAAATCACTTGATGGGACCATATTCTAGGGTTCTCAATTACAGATAACCATTTCATATTTTATTAATGACTAAAGAGCAAGAATGAAAATTTTTCTCAAGCAAAATTTATGAGCAAAATGGTTACATTTTAATTTACTAAATGCTTTTCCTTTTCTTTCTTTTTTTTTTTTGTTGTAGGAAGAAAAAAATTGCCAAGATTGTACCTGAATTGTGTGAGAATCACTTGCTTGTCCAAGAATTTCAAGAAGGGCAGGATCAGAAATAAAAAAGAACCTAGGAAACAGTAGTCTTTTCTTCTCTAAGTACCTTTAAAATTGAACAAGAACTTTATTAGAATATTTCAGCTCTTCAATTTTTTCTACATGAGTGAAATACTGAAATACTATTAATATTTCATATAAACTATTTACAAAACAATAATGCACTAAAAAAAAAAAAATCAAACAATTCATACCCTGTAAGGGATTTCTGACATATTTCCAACTCTTCATGCAAATGAGGGAGAAGTTGCTCCATAGTCTCATCTCCAACACAGCAGTTAATTACATTGGGGTTTTCACGAGCTCGTTGCATTATTCTTATCCATGTTCTATCAATATTCTGAAAACGTTTCGCTTCCTATATATGGCAAAACCATAAGTACTTTCACAGCATCATCTATTGGAAATTATTATACAGATAATTTTTAATAAACAACAATAGGTAGCATTGTAAAGTTTACCTGGGGTAACTCTTCTGCGATATCTCCCCCTACAAAAACAGCTTCAAGATAAATCCAGAGTTTCTGTACAACCAGCCATTCTTCAATTATGTCTGTAGATCTGCTTAGTTTATAAATCCAGCTCTGAATTTCATTTCTATATGGTGCGTTATATCTAAAAAAGGATGAGAAGCAGAAATTATTTGATTCATAAGCTATTATAAAATGAATACTTACAATGGTGAAAAAAAACCCCAAACAACGCTTATTTCACTTAGAGCAAGAAGAATCTCACAAGAAGTTTCTACCAGCTTGATTACATCCGAATTTGAGACAACAGTTTTCTTCTAATGAAAAACTTCCTCAAGTGGAAGACTTTCATACATTAGACACTGTAACATTATTTTTCATTAAAAAATAATGTTCCATTCAAATCTACTGCTGATTTAGCCTAATAATAGCACAGTTGCTACCTCAGTTTGTTCCTGAAGAAGCCATACACAATCAATTTGAAAGTACCTCTTGGTCAGTAAAGAGCCAAGAATCATTAAACTGTCCTCCATCAACATTATAATATCCAACGATTCAGTTCCCTTTAACAGTAACTCTCCTCTCCCTTTGAATGATGAAAAGCTCAGAATTTGGCTTCCCCAAATGTCAGCTATTTGAGATAGTTTGGTTTCTATATCCTTTTCCTTTGTAGCAGATATGCATATGTCCTGCAAAGGAAGAGCAATTTTTTAGAATCTCCATTCTTCAGAAGTAAAATCTCCCCTAGCACTACACATCTAGTAATAGAATATTTTAAAACAACACATGAAATTTTATAAAATAGTACATAAATGTGCCACATAAATGCACAGATCACACTACTAATTTTACTCACTCAAATTACACGTATGGGTAGCTGAAAAATGCACACTTGGAAACGTGTGGATACATCACTTCTGTGGCTTCACATTTGTTATTTCTGCACAACAAGATTTCGGAATCATCATTTGCACAAGGTTTAGGGTAGTGACGTGTAGACTCCTCACCAGATAAACTCTCAATCTTACCACATTTCAATTTATAGAATCACAAAATCTAAGAATAGTTTAGGTTGGAAAGTTCATCGACTCAAACATTCTATTCAAATCAGAGCTTAACTCAAAATTAAGCAGACCTCCTTGGAATGCTTCCATGTAAATCGAGTATGAGTATGACAGTATCTTTTGCATGCATATTTAACCTATGACATCTGCAAAACCCATAGAGAGTTTTTTCAGGTTACGTGGGGGATCTTTTGAAGCTGTATGGTTCAGAAGAAGCCATAAAGATCTAGAAAGCTACGCATAGTAAATATTAATAAGCATGGAGCCTTCCTCTAAAATTTCTGATTTATTTACAAATCTTTAAAGCAACCACAGAGTTAAAAAATCAGGTGACCATGATTACTCGAAGTTTTGTTTGAGGTTTTTTTTTCTGTTTAAAAAGGGCTAAGAAAATCATAGAAAATAGGGCCAGGAAGAATGTGAAGAGATTATCTAGAAATAAGTGTCTAAAGAGTCCATTTGTTACTCTATCTTTGTTCACATGGATGAGAACTTCCATTAAAATACAAGTTATTTTAAACTAGTGTGGTCTGATTGAGAGCCAAGGACTTCAACGAAGTAAAAATATTTTTAATAAGAGGTGGTAATTTCATAAATAATCATATTATTTTGCCTGACAATATAAAATGAACAAGGAGGGGGAAAAAAAAAACTTATTACCTACCTCAATATCATCTCTATGTTTAAGAATTGGTGCTTCCAGGATGTTTCGAAGGCAAAAGGATTCAGATTCTATATCAAATTGATGTCCTGTTGTTTCAGCAATACAATTCCAGTGCTTTTGCTTCATTGCTTTGTTGGTCATCATTTCCAACAAAGGACAACACTCACTAAAATCATCGATTTTTTTCTTGAGATCTAAAAATGCTTGCCAGTGCTGGAGGCCTTTAGGTAGTCTACGGCACCTGCAGTTGAGTTAAATTGATACAGTAGTAAGTGCCTTCTGTCAAAATAGGAATTGTTTAAACATTTTAAGAACAGACAAGGAGATATGAAGTAGCTTGTATTGAGGTCAACGTTTCCTGTGTAAAATTCCAATTTGATCAATTCATCTACCTTTTTAGGAAAAAAACTAACGCAAATGCCCTACTAACAAATAATAATATTTACAAGTTTTAACCACCAATATGTTCTTTGCAAATAAACAGAAATATTGTAGTCTGCATTAAAACATAGCTTACCGGCTGCTTATCATCACAAACTATTGGCAAACAAAGAACAAAGCAAAATTCGTTAAATTTCACATATGTAAACCTTGTACAAATATAATATTTACTTCAATTTACTATACCAGTAATACACATGGCACATATTAACACACCACTTTGGAGACAGAAGTGAAAATTAGAAAAATATGACCACCTTCTCCTCTCCTTTTGGCTAGTGGTCCTGAAACTATTCATGAAGAAAATTAAAATTACATACTTCTAATGAGGAAAAACTCCAGCAAAACAGTTAAATGAATATTCACATCTTGGACCACACTTCTGCAGAGCCTGCACACTAGGAATTAAGCAGTTGACCCACCACAGGAATGTCCTAATATAAATGATCAAGTATATCGTTAGAAGGAATGTAATAAAGCCTGGATCACATTTTGCTTGGTTTTGCATCCTTTAACACTTATCTCCCTACCTCCCACTGATATAATTTCATATTTTCTGTAACCAGGTACAACACAGCAGTCTGTGCCTGGCTTAGAGCTGTGTTGGTGCTGTATAGTTCCCAACACATTCATGTTGATTACTTTAGTCGCTGTCAAACAGAATGCTTAATACCTGTCTGCCTTGCCCCGAGGGGGAAAAGTATTTTGTGTCTGGTTTTGGAATACTGTGAAGTTTTGACTTTTGTAAAACGCATAGACACTTACGGTTATTTTGTAAGTGTCATGGTTTAGCTTCAGGCAGCAACTAAACACCACACAGCTGCTCGCTCACTCCTGCCCGCTCACTCCTGCCCGCTCCCAGTGGGATGGGGAGAAGAACTGACAAAAAAGAAGTAAAACTTTTGGGCTGAGATAAGAATAATTTAACAACTAAAATGGAATAATAATAATAATAACAACAACAATAATA